GAGTGAGTGAGTGAGTGAGTGGTGAGATCTTGTGTTGTGTGTGTGAATGAGTGAGTGAGTGAGTGAGTGAGTGAGTGACTAAGTCTCTGGAGACTGCTGGGAGTGTGAGTGTGCAGTGAGTGAGTGAGTGAGTGAGCGAGCGAGCGAGCGAGCGAGCGAGCGAGTGGAGGAGAGGGCGAGGAGGACGGAGGGAAGGAAGGAAGGAAGGAAGGAAGGAAGGAAGGAAGGGCGGATGCGGGCGGGATGGCAGCCAACAAAACTAGAACCCCACACAGAGATGTGGGGAACAAAAACAGATGGCGCAAGCGCTGCACTGCTGCCGCTGTGCACGTTGCGCCGCAAGACTTGCAAGTTGGTCAGGGATAAACAACAAAACAGGAAAGTTCCATTATTGGGATATTACTGATCGATACTGATTGATTCTCCCTGGCGCCAGTCGTACCTTCGTCAAAGGTGTTTGGATGTGTTTGGGGTGGGTGCCACCTCTCCCAGTCATACCGAAAGCTACGACCTCATCGTGCTTTCTGTACCTCCAGCTCCATCCGCTGAACGAGGTCGGACGGGACACCCATCGACCCGCGTGGTTCACCCCGACCCGACGCGGGTCGCCCCCCTTCGATGCTTCGCCTAGACTCAGTTTGAGAGGTCTCAAGGCCTTCGCCCGAGCAACGGGAGTAGATCTCTCTCGAGGATTCGAGGCTTTCCAGCGCAGAGGTATACCTGAGACCGGACCGAGGCATGAGGCGCCGACCGGAGCAGGAACAACTGGCCAAGCCAATTGATTCATGTTCCAGAAGGGATTATGTTGACAATATGTTGACCCTTTTTCCAGATGTTTCAAGGGTTCATCAAGGGAGATGGCATCATGTTTGACACGAAGCTCATGGTCTGGGATCTTTGGAGTCACTCCACTGTACTTTCAGAGTTGGTCGATAGTGCAACCTGGCCACTTCTTCAGTTCCGGCAGGTGTCCGGTTTCAAGCACACTCGCCTGGTGACCTGGTTTCAACACGTTGTAACTTTTAACCCTTGGTTTTGTCCAGCACAAAAGGAGGGCGTGGCAATTCCGAGAACTCCCCAGACTCGGTTTCCTTGCCGCGAGTCGCTCCAGAACAGCGGTCCGCGGTCCTAACCGAACCCGCCCAACAAAACGACCTGCCCAGTGGCTGATGCAGCTCTCGCAACAAAACACCGATGTTCCAATGAGCATCTGCCACAGACTTTTCACTGCCACATCGCTGCCGTACCTGGAGCATCATCATGGTATGATGCAATGCCTCTTCCAAGGATCCTCACGGGCGGGTAGCAACAAAAATGGCAGGTGACATATCCAAATTGTTGCAATGCAAGCGTTGAACCATCGAACCTCGAAAAAGGAACAGCAATGTCAAAGAAATGGACCAGGTGAGCATGTCTAACCTGCTGGGCTCCATTGGCACATGGCAAAGGTTCTTGAGGGGTTCCAACGAGGATTTTCCTTTCAGAGTGAGAGATGCGCTTGTTGAACCACATGATTATAGAAAGATATAGAAAGTCACCAACTATCAGCAGACCGCCTCCAACGCACCAATCCAACGACTGATTTATGGCCAGGGTCAGTTGCTTTCTCCGATGGCATGGTACGTGGTACAGGTCTTACTGGATGTTACAGGGGTCACACGTACCATCCGGACGCACGGACGGCCAGTGACGCGGACGTGAACTTGAGGCATGGCAACGACTTGGCCGGCCAGCAACGGCGTGGCTCCAGTGTTCCCTTCCAGGTTGCAGGAGAATGTATTTGACTGGGGGTTGCGCAGGTTGCAGGCTCCATTCCTTTATCATCCTTCGTCCAATACATGGCGTGAAGTGATTTCAGGATTCTGATATACTTATAATCGCTTAAACAATCCAAATGTCCAAACTGGTAGGCCCAACACCGGCATGCTTAGTTGATCTTAGTTGTTGGTGTGAACAACCCCCAAGTCAACTCAAACCATCCTCATGTACAAGTCCGAAACTTTCAAACCATCCAGATTGCTCTGGACTGTTCTGATCTGCAAGGACCCGCATAAGCTATTTATATATTAACCCATGCTACGTCACATTCCCACCAAGTCCTCTGCGTGTCAGCAGGGCCGCATGAAACCCATAGGCATCCCCTGCCGCAGGGGAGCCCTCACCATGTGCCAATCGGGCCATTGCCAAGTAGGCACGGCTGTAATCGGTGGCGCGTTCCTAGCAGTGGAGATGGCTTGATTTCAGCTTGATGTGCACGATCCACAAGATCCCACGTGCGTCAACATGATTCAGACCTCAAGAAGTGTTTGCGCCCTTGTTCACTGTTCGGGATCTGAGCAACATCGAGCTATGTTGGAAAGTTACGAACACCAACAAAAAGGAAGAACTTGGGCCTGCTGGCCGAACAGCAAGCACAGCTCAGCGGTGCACAACAGCAGCGTGGCGGCCTTGGGGCGGTACCCAACGCGCCGAACGCGGGCGTCGCTTCGCGGGCGTCGCGCTGCTTCGAGGGATGGGCCGAGACGATCGAGCTGAACACTCCTCACTGCCGAGCCGTAGATCGAAACAGTGCGAATAGCTATGACCAGGGGCAGGGTATGATTGTCCTTCTTGAGTTGCAACTTCCAACTCTTGGAGAACAGCCCTTGCCGCTACCAGTACCAATTCCGAAGCATTGAATGGTAATGCTTCGGAGATCTTCGGAGTAGTTTTGGGGTGTCCATTGTTTGGCAGCTGAGAGATGGCAGCGAGATGGCAGCTGACACATCAGTGTGATTTTATACCACATTCTGTAGACCCCTTCCACTGTTGTGTTCACTGCTGTTTATAAGTCCTATCTGCCATACAGGAGTGCGACAATCCTGGAGTACACCGTGAATCTATGTTGACGTTTGCTGTTGCCTCATCTCAACTCCCACCGACCAGGTTCGGTTCAAGCAATCCTATAAGGCTCCAGTCGTACCTTCGTTTCGTTTCGGTGTTTGGGTGCCGCAGGAGGGTCTCAATACCCAGGATGGCACGACAGGAGCCTCAAGACGCCTCAAGGGGTTCGATGCGTGGGAGTGGCATGAAAGCTATTGCTGGATGGCAGGGCTATACGGGGCTCGGCCTTGCTTCAACGCTGTTGAGATCTTTGGGGGACTGCAGCCTGCGGAGGGGAAAACGTCCGTGTTACAAAGTTCACTGTGCACCTGTGGTTACTGAAATCAGATTTCTTCGGCCGGTGTTGCCGCGCCCTGCTACGTCACTCGCGGGAAGGCATGCGGAACATCAACCGACCAACCTATCACCCAGCACCCCCACACGAAAAGGACTCAACTGCCGTGGAGGAGAAGCACCTGCCGTGGAGCCACTGCTTCTCCCTCTCTCTCTGTGTGTCCATCGGTCTTGTACCAGATCCGTAGGTCCGAAGGTGGTTGAGCGGTGTTCAATCGAAACATCCCCCGTATACTACTCCCAGTGGTTCTGCCGTATTTTTGCAGTTTATATTTTTATCAGAGAAAAGGCTTCTGCAATTTGTATAGAGGGACCAACTGAGGGGCAGTGAGGGGGGATATCCAGGATATCTAAACCACTTTCATGTTGCTTCACTTTGTGTCGCTATATACTGCTTGTGTGGCTCACGGCAAATGGTGGCCCCCCCTCGTTCTGGTGTCGCTACTCCGCCGGACTGGAGCGGAAGCCAAGCCGCAGAGCAAGGGTGGAAAATGGGCAAGTTGCCATCAGCACCTCGCAGTGACCGGGTGCAGAATCCGTGCGAGAGACCCGGGTGTGCTTGCGAAACACTGGCTTGGGGGTCTGGAACTCGAAGGCGTTCCAACTTCAAGGCGTTCCATTTCTGCTGAAGACTCGCGCTGATCGATGTGCTTAGATGGTCCGGCTTGCGCCGGCACGGCATAATGCCTTGAGCAATTACTGGTAGTACATCATCGTACGTAGCGCATTCTTTCGAGGGTGGACAAAGGTAAAATACCCAACTCAACGGATTCTTCGAGAAATCCGGGATCATGTGCTATACACAGAATCCTGCGCTCAGCTGCGAGGTGGTGTTGGATATCTAGGCACACCAACAGGGCAAAAAAGAACAAAAACAAAGTCTTGGTTTTGCTTCTCTTGCTTAAAGCACCTGTCAAGCTATCGACCATCTTCGCCAAATGGTCCAAATATTTCAATCCCGAGGCATGCTCCCCGGCCACATGTGTGGCACGCGCCAGCAGCAGGAGCTCCACGAGCTGGTTCAGGTCGACATCCGGTTCACCCGCAGTGCGTCGCCGAGACTCAGCTGAACCCATTTGGTATGCCTGACGAAGCTCGTGCGTCAGCATGAAGCTCGTGCGTCAGCCCGCAACACATTCGAGCTGGTCAGCCAAATTGCAGCGTGATGATTGATCAATCGCTGGTCAAGATTGGTCAGTGTGAAGGTTTGACGGCCTCAAAATTGCAGTTTGTATACGTACCGTGTTTAAAGTCACTTCCGAAGCAAAGGATCTATATATATCCAGTGCAAATGGAGGATCCATGAGATTGGATTCGCTATATTAAGATTCAGCCTTTCACCCAGGTGATCAGCCTTTCAGGATCGAGGGATATCTTGAAAGTGAAAAAGAAACTATTGAGCATGTCGCTGAGCCAGCCACAGGATCGTGTCTAAATATGACAGAACCCAGTTTCGATCAACAAAGAAACAGAACGCTCCCCCCTGAAAGTTCTTCCAACCTCCAATCACAACTCGAATCGCAACAAAGAAACTACCGACCTGGGGGAGCTTAGACGGCCCAATTAAGCCTATATCCCATCTGTACCACAACCCATCGGGTCCCTGTTCAGGTCTCCAACCTCACCATTGGTAGACCAGGTCTACATTTGCGCACTCCACGCTTCACAAAACCCGGTACGATCGTCCCGCACGTTGATCCAACACCTCTCCCGCCCGCCACCCCTCGCCAGCAACCGCCACTGCCAGCAACCGCTTGATCGAACCGCTTGCCAGGCCCGGTCCACTCGCCTGCATGGCTGAGTCTAAGACGTCCATATAGCGTCGGTCCCTGGAAGCGGCCACTGCAGCAGCTCTCAGCTGCTCACGCTTCTCCTCAGCACCTGCCGGACGTTGGGGGGCAGTTGCTCTGAAATCGTGGGCGGGACATGTCAGGAAATACCCGCAATACTTGTGGATCTTGATGAGGCTAACTTTGTTAACTATAACTACAACACAACCAGGATTGTAAGTACCAACTGGTTTGAGTGCTTGCAAGTTGCGTATGCATGTCAGATCCAAAACTTGCTGAGGCTACATGGTGTACACCGTGTACAAGGCTGTGCTAGCTGTGAATTCTTCGATTGCATTGCTTTGCTTGCAGGAACCTTGATTTGTATGCTGCCGCTGCGCGTATATTGGGATGTGCATCTCACCCGTGATGCTTACGTCCCTCACGCAAAACACCAAGCCGCCGCAGCCGCGCTGATCGACCTTTTCACGTGTTCACGTTTCACAGGGAATCCTCCTGAATGATCCTAAATTGCTTACATAAACAATGAACATCTCTTGCTTTTTGATTCACTGTCCACTTTGGAACGCCCAGTGCGGACCAAAAATGGTCGATGAATGCCGATGATTCTCGACCACCGGGGGGTCTGCCCTTCGGCTTCGATTGGGAGGGCACTGAGATGGGCACCAAGGTGTGTGCAGCAAGTCGTGGCAAGTGGCAAAACACCCCACCTTTGATTGCATGCTCACGACCCGCCAGCACGATCTCTTGCTTGAAGGCAGGGATCTCCTGTGGATGTGTAGCTGTCAGTCTGTATTGGATGACAGGTCGTTGGAGCCTGAAGCACCTTCAATTTCGAGGGTGTCCACCATCCACCATGTAAACACAAGGCATCTTCCCATCACAACAGTTGTGCAATAGGTCCGTTCGGCAGAACGTGAAACGCGCTGAAGCGGGGCGAGACGGGCTTCCCAGGAATGCATTACGCTGCTGGTTCGCCTGAAATGACCCCAGCTTTGACTGGAAAGTATGGAAAAGCTACTGGAAAAGCTGAACCGAAGATTCCATGGCAAGAGTTCTAGGAGTGTTTGGTGTTCCTAGGTGCCTTTGCTGTGCTCATCCTGAACCGGACCTTATTGTTCTAGTCTTGCACCGCGCGACCCTCTGTCCTTGGTCTCTGGAAGAACCACCGCAGAGGATAAAGCCTTCTGCGCCACCTGGTCTGAGTGCCTGTGGCACGCCAGCCGGTGTGTAGCCCAATCCTTCTGCTGGCAACTGATGGAGCAATAGAAGACATCCTCGCAACCTAAGGCGGCAGGGGGAATCAGCTTTTTGTTGCATCTAGAATCCTTACCCGGAACTAAGAAGGGAACAATATGATTTGTAATTGTTTGTATACTTTTCGATGGCTTGTGCTCCATCAGTCAGTTTCCGGGAATCATGGCTGTAGCAAAGTTTAGCAACGCTCTTTCTTCTTCTACTGTCCCTGGAACAATCATGGAAGTGGACAATTATGACCCCTCGGATAACCACTTTCCTCTAAAACCAAATGGTTTTCCACATCCAGATTATTTCAAGGAGTGTATGCCTTCTATATGGTCTGTAATCAGCCCCTGCGACCACATGCTACTAATCACAAGCTTCGAGTTGGCCTTGGAATCAACCTGTGTGTATGTATGTATGTATGTATGTATGTATGTATGTATGTATGTATGT